ACTTGGGTTGCTATACTTGGTTCGCATCGAGTTCTTTTCTTGGTCACGGCCCTTAACACGCATCGTTAAGCGCCGACTCCACGCCTATTCTTGCGCAGCGGATTGCATAACTTCATACGAACGGCTTGGTCCGAATATTGTATCGCACTTTCTCGTATTATACCCGGTGTTCACTTCAATATTCGCTTCGGAGTAAGCTTCCTGTTGCAAACCTCTTTAGACTTGTTCTCTTCCGAGTTGGGCACTGGGGGCTCGTGTTTGAATTGACCGGCATTGTGGTCGCGTCTCTCTTGGCAGGTACACTATCGAGTTGGGACCGTTTATGGTGTCAGGCATACCATCGGTTATCTTTCGATACTGCGTCAACAACCAGATCGCAGGATTGCGATACGCTACAAACACGCCGTATACGGTGACCCATCTGTTCGCAGACTACATCACACCTTTTTTTCCTTTGTCCAGTACCATCATCACGAAATGTTACCTTTGGGTTTCTCTGTTGGCTATCAGAATGTTCACGTATACCCCTGTTTACCCATTTTTAGATGGGCCATTCCTTTCGGCATCTCACTCGGCTTTACATTCGGCATCGCTTGTTAGTTGGCTCCATGGGCAAACTATCGTTCTTTCTATTCTCAGACCTGTACATACTTTTTAGGAGACGGCGACTTTGCATTATGGAGTATCTTCGGTGGCGGAGGAGGGGAACGGGGGAAGCTAGACGGCATGGGTTAGATGGCAAGCGAGCAGGTAGCCTTGCGCTTGCGGCAAGGCCGTTGCATCGGCGTGTTGTTTGTATACAAAAGATCGCCGTTAGACATGGTGTCGGATGTCCACTGCCCCGTGTTTAGTGCACTTGGCGGGTGATCGCCTATATCTTTCCTTATCCAGTAGCGAGGCCTACTCCGACCAATATCACCCTGTTTGCATGCACACTTTACACCACTCTTGCACCATGTTCTTTCCTTTTCCTCAATAGTAGACTCAACTATGTATGCAGGAGTACAAGGGCGGTCAGAGGAGGGCCTTGCAGCGCTGGGTGTTTCACCTTGGGCCTTGCAGTAGTGGCCTGATTGGGAGATTTCGAATGTGTTGGTCTTTGCGATGATCGGTCGGAATGTGGAGGTACTTTGGCCACGTAAGGTTATGCATACGAATATGCCGATGAAGTTGTGTAACTCTCTGTTTCCTTCTGCTCGCACAGGGCGAGTGGATCTTGTTTGGGGAAAGAGAAGCGCTTCTTGTGAACTTTGTTGGTGAATTGGGATATCGGCAGTGGCGGTGTGGGGATGAGGATGCTGCTGCCAATCGGGTGGCTTAGGTTGAATGTGTAAGTATCGAACATGAGATGCTTTTTTATCATTGACCGGCACTTCAATGCAAGACTTGAGGCCCTACTATAGCTTTGCCGAGACGCTCAACTGTTCCCTGCTTCAATCATGGTATGCTCTTTGCCTAGCAACCTCAACACCTAAGTAAAAGAAAAACGCGCCTCTAACTCATCGTACCTAGGTTTGACGTAATACATAAATGCATTAGTTGTTCAAACTGTAGTTGGGTGTATGTGAGAAGAACAACATCTCTCATGTAATTCGACAGAGAATCGGATGCGTTACCGTAGAACTGCGGGTGTTGGTGGAGCTGAGCCAACCGATTTCAACTAGGAGATGATTGCTTGCAGTGAACCAGATAGCTATGATCTTCCAACGACGAAAGACTCGAGATATCACCTTTACAAGCGATATATTCGTGGAGTAAAGGTGCCGTTTTGCAGCCACGGGAAGGAAATGCTTCTACGACGGGTTAGCACAAATCAGCCACAGCCTCTGCCCCGCCTCGTGGCGCATGCGAGGACCCCACCTTGATGGTCCGTGGTTCGCCGTCACTGCAGCCTGACGGTTCCGCCCAAGCAAACTCACAACCTCTTTGCTGCCTATAACCCTTTGCGCCGTCGCGTCCTCCCACCTACACCTACATCCACATACTAAGCTCACGAGCTCTCGCCAACGCTCTCCATACCGCCGACGCAGCTTCACGAAGCTTGCCACAGCTGCATCCGCTACACCGAGACAGCCACTGAAGCGCGAAGAAGAGAAGAATAGACAAGATGCAGATCAAGTACGTCATGTCAAGTTTGGAATATGGCTAGAAGAAGCAGTAGGAAGACAAATTGCTAACACTGGGACAGAGTACGAACCCTCACCGGCAAGGAGATCGAGCTCGATATCGAGGCAGACTACAAGGTACGCCTACCCGAATTTGTCGCCGTATACCCAAACCAGGTCGGGTCTTGATGGCTTCAAGGCTTTGAAAGCGATGCGTAGCAATTCTCCAGGGCAGAAAGCTAACGGCACACAGGTCTCGAGGATAAAGGAGCGCGTCGAGGAGAAGGAGGGCATCCCGCCAGCGCAACAACGTCTTATCTACGGAGGAAAGCAGATGTATGTACCTCTTGCTCTATTACCCTCTCCGCCTTACGGCTACCTCTGGGGGTGTCTCTTAGTGCACATCTTACTCCAGACCGAGCTAACATGAACTCTCCCAGGAACGACGAGAAGACCGCGCAGGACTACCAACTCGAGGGCGGTGCCACACTGCATTTGGTACTTGCTCTTCGTGGTGGATTCTAGCTTCCTCCTCTCTCGAACCCACCCTACCTTCGCTCGCACCTACCGACACGTACCATATGACATACCCTGGGGCAGGCGTGCGCTAACTTTCCTGTCGCACGTTTTCGACCATCAGCTCACGGAAGCGCGCGTAGCACCATGGGGGTATCTGAATATCAGAGGGATGACTGAGGAGAATGGATACTTGGTGCCTAGGTGCTGGAGTTTGTAGCGAGGTTGCTCGACACGCAGCGATGATACTTGGCATATGGATTGGGCTAGGATATCGGAAGACTTGCGTTTGGTAGTAATGCGGAATCCTTTTCTTGCACAATTACGCGCTACATCATGCCTTCTTCGAGCAATCTTTCATCTCTTCAGCAGGATTGCAGATTGCGCACGCACCTCGACCAGTCCACTATTACGCCTTGCGCTCCGGATTGCACATGAAAGATTGATACCATGCTTTCGACAGCGAGAACTTCGAAGTTCTAATGCTACTCCAAGACAGATCTGCTATCTACCCAAAATTACGCGACACTTACCCTTACACAGTGTCAATCCAAGGGCCGATTTCATAGACTGTAGCATGACTCTGAAATCCGTGGAAGCCGTAGAAGCCGTAGTATGGATTGCGGACAAACGCTCCTGTTATCTGTAATGCGTAACCGGCGTAACTTCATGTAGATTACCCCGCAGGAACACCGCCGCCAACTAAGTACAAACGCGCGTTGGTCACAAAAGAGCGCTCCTGGCTCGCGTATGAAGACCGCCTCGTGGCCTAGATCCAGGTACCTACTCAGAAGACGCTATAAAGCTCATTTACCCTCGCCATCCATAACTCCGGTTCCTGAAGCTACTCAGACTTTACCACAAGCCGTACTTTGCGTGCAATCGTAGCTCAACAAGTTCACCTACTGTTCTTTCCACAAGAAGAGCCAAGAACAAGACAGAGCAAGATGGCGCCTCTCGACGACACTACGCCAGACAATCGATTCGACAGTTTCAACGTTTTCAAACCGTCGTACAAGCAGGTTGACTACCACGACATCGAGGTCGGCATCCTGGTGCCAAAAGACGTGAAGCCGGGCAAATGTCCAGTCATGGTCAAATTCCACGGCGGTGGTCTGGTATGTTGGTTACGCTTCTTCGATACAGATACTCATTAGGTGTGAGGAACAATGACGACAAAGACCTAACATCACATCACAGGTCGCAGGAGACTGCCTCTACGCCGACTGGATAGGCGCCTTCTTCGTCCCCTGGATCCACCGCACCAACGCCATCGTCGTGCTGCCCAACTACCGCCTCATCCCCGAACACAACGGCGCCGACATTCTCGAAGACCTAAGCGACTTCTGGAAATGGTTCAACGCAGGCGCCGTCGATGAATTTCTCAAATCCCAGCCGACGATCAAGGACAGCGGCATCAGTCTAGATTACGATAAGACTCTGGTAACGGGCGACTCAGCAGGCGGCTACATGGCCCTGATGTCTGCTCTCACACAGCCTAAAGACAGCATCAAAGCGGTTTTCGCGCAGTATCCCATGACAAACTATCTGCGTATCGAAAAGGTCGATGAGTTCTTTGGTCAGCCTTCTCCGCCTGAATCTCTTATCGCCAAGCATCTCGCGGCTGTCAAACCAGGTGCTATCGTTACTTCGGGTGTTCAACCGGAGAGAATGGGATTGAGCTATGCTTTAGCAGCTTACGGACACTACCTCAAGTACTTCGGGTCTGACGAGAAGATGTGGCCGATTGGGTTGGTGGAGGAGAAGGAGTGGTTGCCGCCGACGTGGATCGTGCATGGTGACGCGGACGGGGCGGTCAGTGTGGAGGATAGCAGGAAGTTTGTAGAGAAGTGTAAGAAACTGGGTGAGGGTGTTGAGGTTAGACTGGAGGTCAGGGCTGGCAAGGATCATGGCTTCGACATCGCGACTAAGGAGGATGAGGAGGCGTGGCTTAAGGAGGGTTTGGCGTGGGTGAATGGGAAGTGGTTGCGATCGTGATTCTCGATTGCTCATGGGCTGCCAAGTACGAGTGAATAGGAAATTCATGCCGCTTGTTGGGATACGCTGAGAGAATTGAGAGTGGAATTTGCGCCGAAGGCTTATGAGTGAGACCACGTCAACATAGGAAAAGACCGAACGCCCTGCAGCCTACATCAACATTAAGCTATGTACGTGGCATGTTATCATGTTGATGTAGTCTGCAGACCTGTATGAGGCAAGATGTTGGGGTTGTTGTATGGGTCTTTATATGCGTGGACTTGAACTTGCCGTTTTTGGAAAGCCGGAACGTGGGACAATGTATGCTTATTATTGGGACATGGTGACACGAATAGCGTAGAGTTATGTGGATGTCATGTTCCACGAACGGACTATTAGCACTCATATGATGGTCAACGTAGTCTTCTTCTCGCGAAGCGGGTCCCAGTCGATGAAGAGAGGCCACTCGCCGTTTGAGAGACGGTGCTGAAACCATCCGTGTTCAAACATTCCAATTCGTTTGAAGACCTTCTTACCAGCGACGCGTTCAAGGATTAGACCCGATAGTCTCAAGATCTCATGAGTGCCATACAGAAGCTTGACTCTGTATGTGAGTAACAGTAAGAGTGTCCGGTCGGCGTAATATCCGTTTCTGTATGCACCTTCATCCATTGAATGGAAGTACAATGGTTTGCGGGTATCTTGTGAAAGATCGAAAGGTTGCTTTAGTTGTCGTATGGGTGCCGTGACGCGGAGTTTGGCACCTGACAGTCTACCCATCGGATCTGTGCCGCTCGGATGCGTGACTACTTCTTCGATCTTCGCTGCGCAGATATCGTCTTGATACCCCCACGCGATGTTGCCTCCGTGAATGAGTGGGAACCACACCGCGGAATTCACGGATGCCCATGACCAAGAAGGCGCTTGGTAGAGATCAGACATGGATACAATTTTCTAAAGGTGAAAAGGCACTTACCACGATAGTCCCTTGGCAGAGGTTTCTTGTGAGTAGGATATTTCTGGGACCACAGAAGACCATACACAAGATCGCGTCTCCACATTCCAGCCACATAATGATCCTTGGTAGTGGCTTGCCAGTACTTCGCAAGTCCCATGAGAGCCGGGAAACGATCTTCTTCATACGTGAGCTGGCAATTCGAGAAGTTTTCCACAACGTGCAGCCATTTCCTGTACACTTCGCGGATTTGTGCAACATCAGGTGGGCATTTCTGTGGACTGTAGATGCCAAACTTCTTATATTTCATCTCATCGTACAGAAGATTTGCGGCACGGAACGGGAAGCCGTCTTTGCCCCACGGATTGAAGCCACCCGCGTTCGGTGCGCCTTGTGGGAAGGTTTCGCATGCGTGAAGTTCAGAGCACTCCCAGTGCAGTTTGTCGTCGTAATATATCGACCGGGGACTCAGGAGGCGCTCCTGGAGTACCCAACCACGCCTCAACAGAACTCGAGCCGTCATACTAGAGTCTCGCTTCAGGTATGACCCGTACGTTCTCTTGAACTCTTTGCGCTGCGCCTGGAGCCGACATAGAGATACCTGCCGTGGGTCTCGATCAAGATACAAACCCACCGACTTTTCGGCGGCCGCGGAAGCTCCTAGGTTGCAGAAGGCGTTGCTGTAAACCTGGCCCATTAATGCTGCTTCTTTATCCCAATCTTCAGCGTCATTTTGGACGATGCACAAGGCATCAATCCAAAGATATGGTACTTCCAATGAACGCGAGATGTCGATAGCGTCCTTGAACACCGGAGGGAGTGTGTTCGCATCAATGTTCATCGTCAGCTCTGCGATGTTAGAGCGGGTCAGCTTTAGCCTCGGGCATACTGCCCATCGATGACTGAGTGTAACGTATTGAATCGATTCAGCGGATTTCCAGTCCTTAGTCTCGACGAGAAATTGGGTGTCGGCATTTCGAAGGTCTATTAGACGTGTTGGAGTGAAAGATGCCGCAGGTTCGCTTCCTGGGAGGGCAAGACGATGACGGCACAATGTATGGTTCTCGATGCATTCTTGTAGCCAAGCTCGTACTTGCACCCAACATGATGGATCGCGCGTGGTTGTCGCTACTTGCTTTGCGGTAACAGGTATGCGCTCCCTGCTGAAAGTATCATTCCCGGGCCTTAATATTGCTTCGAAGCCGTTTGCACCTTTGGCAAGAGCTCGTAGGACTATCCTGAAAATTGCCGCGTAGTCAGTTGATTCGTTTGGCCACAGTTCAATGTCTAATCTCAGCGTATCGAATTCTTCGACCAAGTTTCCATCGCAATCCAATTCTTCGTGGTCAAATTCCCCGTTGTATAGGGTCGCGAGTACGTAGCCAGTTTCAGCAGCTTCTTTCTTGGACTCGTCGTCGAATGACCCAAGCCATCTCAAGATCCAGAAGCAAAGAGGACATTCCTTGGCTGTGGCGACGAGGCTGTGGCGGGTGTAATGAGCCGGAGACTTATCGAGGACGGATTCATGAGGTCTCACCAGGAGGCCTTGACAGGTTGAGCACGGAGCATATGGCGTCATCACCGCTACTGACGTACACAGTACTTCGGGGGCTTTGTCGACGCGATGTGGGGTAGAGTTCAATAATATCTCAACGTAATGAGGGGTGTGCACAGAAACAGAGGTTTTTCTACTGCATTCTTTGTCTGAGGTAGCCTGGGTTTGATTTGGGCCGCGTGACATGTATGTATGCTGTGCCGCATCGCGTCACTAGCGGCATGTTGTACTTTGTAGCGCAAATTATTAATGCCGTGTATCTGCCATGTATAGACGACTGCCGCCCAGCTTGGTTCGTACAGAACGTGTTGTGTCGATGTTTGGGCTTGCTGGATGGAGTTTTCGACGCCATTACAGGCCTGATCTATGTGTGAAGAAGGCAAAGAAACAAAACCCGGGTTAAAACTTTGATTTGCACAGTGCGCAACGTCTGTGACCACACCTAGGGCATATCGTACCGAGTTTGCCTTCATTTTCCCGCTCACACTCATGGCACTCGTACGTAGGTAGCGATATATTCTTGCCTGATTTCTGTTCACTACTCGGTAACTGCGCATTTTCGTGATCGGAATTGTACCCTAGGCGGTTGGGCTTGCTTTCGGAAGGCATTCACTCAGGCAAACTGGGAGGACGTTTTCAGGGGCTGGTGAGGGTGAAGGAGATTCGATATACGTCGTGGAGTATAGAGACCATGGTTGAGCGCGAGTAAAAGATCTTTATACTGGCTACAATACAGTCACAGTCGTCAGTCTTCAATGAGTCGAAGTATTGATATGACTACAATGGTAGTCACAGTCGTCACCCTTCCATGTGTCGATGCACGTTCGTGACTACAATGTAGTCACAGAAGTCGCAATTTAATGAGTCGAGGCGTTGTCGACATCACAGTCACCTATCACTCACACGATGTTACTCACAGAATCCATTGAATAACTCCCCGCTTCACCATGCAATCGCCTACATCACCTACTTCTTCTTCGAGCCCCTCCCGCCTCTCGCACTCTTTTTCTTCCCCTTCGCGATATCGGCGCCGCGGCGACCACCAGCAATCATGACCCGCACCTTGCTAACAGGCACGACACCTACTACCTCCGTCTCTTTCCATCCGCGTATCATCTCAATCTCTTTGGGCCAAATACGCTCTACATCCTGACTGGTCTTGTCTAGCGCCTTGACATCCTTCCCGGCGTGGTCCCAGATGGCAAGAACCTCTTTCACTGCTTTACCGCGCTTGGTAGAGCCGGGCTGAATCTTGGCTTTGTACTTGTAGGTGGAGAGGGCTGACCAGGGTGCGCATACGGGTATGGCAGTGAGGAGTTCGTCGTTGGGTAGGGGGCGGCCTGTGAACGCGTCGAGGTTCTGCAGGTTTGTCTTGAGGACTTCGTCGCCTTCGTCGTCTTCTTCGGCGTTCTCTAGTGCGCGTAGGCGGGCTTCTTCGGCTGCTTTGCCTGCAGCTTGGGCACGGAGATGCTGGTCCCGACGCCGTTGCTTGTCAGCTTGTGCTTGCTCTTCTTTCTGACGCTTCTCTTGAGCAGCCGCCTCGGCAGCCTGCTGCCCGGATTTGGAACCCAGTAGACGCATTGCTAATTCACGGTCTTCTTCGTCTTGTGCGGCGTACTTTGCGGCCTGTTTCTTTGCTTTCGCGCGCTTGCCTCGAGGTAGTGGAGCGTTCTTTGGCTTGGAGTTTTGCGTCGTTACTGTGCCGGGTGCTTTGGGCGGACTCTTTGCGCTACCGTCTTCTGCCGATGAGTTGTCGTCTTCATCAGCATCATCAGCTGCAGGCTTTGCGTCAGATGGGACTTGAGGCAAGTCTTGTAGCTGGCCCTTCCTTGCAAGGCGGCGTTCTCTTGCAGACAACTGTCGCTTCCCAGTGGACTTTGGCGCCCGCTCAGTATCTGCTACAGAGCCTGCGTCTTCTTGAGGCTCTTCGTTCAGAGCGGAACCATTTCTACCACCAGACATGGCGTACTCGTCATCATCCTTAGCAGCTACCGGCTCATCTTCATCGTCGGAGTCGTCCTTAGCGCCTGCTGTTCTGGACTGGAGAGGATTGCTCCTTGGTGCCGCAGCCTCTGATTCCGCGTCGCTCTCTTCAGTCTGCTCCATCTTGGCATCGGGGAAGTCGTCTTCTGAATCTGAATCGATCTTGGCGTCTGGGAAGTCCTCATCGTCATCGCTGTTGTCGGTCTTTGACGCCTCTGCTGTCTTCGATTCGTCTGCAGGTTCATTGTCCATCTCCGCGGCAGAGACCGCAGTGTCCTGCAAACGATGTTTGTGGTGATTGGCCTTACTTGAATCGCTAATCTCAAACATGACAGCAAGACCAACGACCAGCTGAGCAGGTGGTAGGAATTCCTTCTTGCCCTTGACATTGAACATGCCAGCCGGAAGAAACTCCCCGGTCTGGCCCGTTTTGCTGATTTGATCGCTGCGAACCCACCAAGCTGACATTACTGCCTTTGAATCCCACGCCTCGGATGAACAGATACAGAGGTTGCCTGCTTGCGAGAGTGTCGAGGGAGGAATGGGAGCGTCAGGCGTATCGGGCTTGTTTTTGATGATCATCGGCATCGCTCCTTTGATGTCGGCATGAACGTATACGTCTCCCTTGCGTAGGAAACGTCGGTAGATAATCTCGTTCTGCTGGGCATCTTTACCTCCAAGGACCAAATAGCCATCCGAGGAAATGAAGTATATGAATTTCTCAAACCACTGCTGCTTGCGCACTGGTCGCAACACCTCCTTCTCTTGCTTCAACCCCTTCTTCAGGTCCTCGTTCACCTTCTTTTCGTGGCTCTTCAACGCCTTGGTGGATGCTTGCAGTGTGCGGTCTTCTTTGTCAGCGGCGGTCTTCTTTTGGTCAAAGTACTCGGTTGAGTTCGCCCAAGCGGTCAAAGCGAGGTCGATGTCGATGGCCAATTGAGGCCGAGCGGATACGGCTGGGGCAGGGGCTTTCTTCTTAGGGGCCTCGTCTTCATCGTCGGTGTCTTCGCTGACAGAACTTGTCTCATTGCCCTCATCTTCTTCGTCTCCTCCCTCTTCCCAGTTGGTCTCATCCAGCAGTAACGTGACCGTATTCTCATGCAGCTTTAGTGGTAGCTTGATGAGCTGTGCGACTGCGTTTCCAGAGTTCTGTTCACGCTCGATCAAACGCGCGATATCAACCCAGTCCATGCCTTGTCTGATCAATCCATTGACGGCTTCGGTAGCTTCTGTAACACGATGTACATTTGCCAATATCGCTTCTGCTTTGCGGAAGTTGAGGTTTTGCACTTGCTGCAATCCACCAATTCGGTCTTCATGCTCTTTGCGCGCCTTTTCCAGCTTCTTCTTGGCCTGTTGTTCGCGCTCGGTCAACTTTGATTCCAGCTTCTGTCCTTCTATCGAGGAAAAGAACTCATCCACCGCTTTGTTGAATCCGTCAAATTCTAGGAAGGTATAGTCCGAGTTCTCGAATTGCGCTGGACGGAAAGGATGGAAGTCGTCATAGAGGACTCTCGATTTCTCGGAGGCTTCGTCATCGGCCGGAGGTGCGGAGGGGTTTGGCTTGGCGAGGATGAAGCCCTTGATCTGGTCTGGTGTTGTGATCTCGTCCGTGATCTTTCTTGCGTTCTGGAGCACCACGACAAGCTTTTCCAGAAGAGCATCGTCAGCGAGTACCTCCTCCGGCTTGAGGGTTGAATCGAAATTCGCGATGTGCAGCGCATGGTCTACCAGCAGAGGGGGGCACTCCGTGATTGAAACGGCGAGTGCCTTCCTCAACGAATCCTTTCCTGCCTTTTTCGCTTTCTTCCCTGTCGCCGCAGGCTGATCTTGTTGTTTATCGACCGCCTTCTGCAGCCCCTGGCGCACTCGATCCTTGGTAAGCTCCGGGGCGCCACCATAGTTCTGTCGCAGGGTGAGGTTGTATTTCAGACCGACCCTGAGCCTTTCGTGTTCCTCGCCTTCGTCTACATTGCGTAGTAGCGACAAGACATTCAGATCCGCGTCTGTCAGGACAATATTGCCGCCAGCGTAGAACTCCAAGTACAGCCTGTACAGTCCATCGGAGAATTGAAACTCGAGGATGCGGTCGGTGCCGATCTGGGTGATGGATGTGATTCGCCTGGTCTTCAGGTATTTGCGCAGCTTTGCGACAAAGGCAGAAGGCGCAGCGGCTGTGGTTCGCGCATATTCGGTAAGGTGGCAGCGGAAGCCGGAATCGATGAGGAGCTGTTCGCGGTGGTCGGGCTTGTGGAATTTGATGAGAAAGATTCGCTGTGTTTGTCAGCACATGACTCCAGGGGGTGTTGTGTCAAGCTGTCCAAGCATACCGAGCTCAAATCATAGACATTCGTGACTCGCAGTGAGGTGAGTTTTGCGGAGAGCTCGTGGGCTATGACCTATTCACTGTTAGCTGGATGTTTACATTGGGAAACTGTGAAGTGCTCACCTTGACGTCCAAGCTGGAAAACCTCTGCTTCATGGTTGTGTTGTGTGAAGAGTCTGTGGTTAGTGGGGTCGGCGATTGATGGTGGGCTGCGGCGATGACGAAGGTGTGCGAGTAGCGCG